TTTATTCGAGTAACAGCCATTGCTTTCCAGTTTTGCTATTTATCTCTAAGTTTCCATATCAGTAACAGACTTTCCGTCTATTTTCGTTCTGATAGAACATAGTGTTTGATAAGTACTACATAAACAACTTACACACTACAGCATTGGGTAGAGAAATTATTGGCTATACGCGGGAAAAAAAAAAACCCTGAAAAATTTAACCTCAATTATTTGTCCTTTCAAGGTCATAAAAGACAAGGGGAGACAGGGTGAGACACAGGTTGACCGAGACCAAGTAGACATGCCAATTCCTTGTCAAGTTATCACTCGAATTGCATCCTGCAACAGAAAAATGACGTTAGTCGAAAAGCTTGGAAAATTCAAATAGAGCCTGTATTTAATTAAATTAATTTACTTTATCTAATTTTTTCCAAAAAAAATCCTTGGCTCCTCGGAGATCCCCCCCAAGTCAAAGTGGCAACTGCTCTCCTCTAAGCGCCTCCAGGGACTCGCAGACAGCAGCGAGGGCGGCAAGCGGGCTGCGCATGCTCAGTCCTCCGGGGCTGGGATCTCCAGTACAGATGCGGCCTTGGCGCCGCCGAGCCGGCGGGGGGGGCGCCAGAGAGAGCGCGAGACTTGTGGCTGCAGCTGCGGCGGCGTCGGCGGCGTTTGAGCCGCCTTTCCCGGCCTGGCCACGGCCTAGAGCCGCCCTAAAATCTGTTCTTTAGTTATTAGAATTTGTATACGGTGTTAGTAATTGCGCTAGGATTATGCAGGATGCTAACATTAGGGAGAGCTTGATGAAGGATACCTGGGAACTGACTGCACTGTTTTTACAACTCTTCAGTAAGTATAAAATTATTTCATAATTTAAAATTTACCGGAAAAGAAAAAATAACAAAAGAAAGAAAATCCAAAAACCAAACAGCAGTTGCTGAGCCCTTTCCATCTGCTAGGCGGCATGTTGGGGCAAGTCTTCCCGTGGACAATTTGCCTCGTATATGTGTTCTCCCCTCCAGTCGTCTGTGCTGCTTCAGCCAAATTTTTGTGGTGATACGGATTTTTCTATCTATAAGTATGTAGGATATCATTTGAAAATAACATTTACAGTTGAAATTATGGATTCATACTGATTAGCAATATCTGAATTGCCTAGGTTTTGTTACCTAAAAATGAGAATTGTAATTTCGACCAGGAAGAACCGAAGTGCTTGGAGTTTTTGCCCCAGAGAGATACCCTCGTGTGATGATGATGTCAGTATTTAGAACGGGAAGTCACCTCTCAGACAGCTCTTCGGAACGCTTCTCTCGGAGAGGGGCACTCACTTTCCACAAACCAGACCAACATGGCTACGAGTGCGAGTGGCGCCTGTTTCCGGTCGCAACTCTGTTCTCGGAGCTTCCCACCCCTGTCCTCACCTTCGCTTGACCAAAACGGGTATGTTTTCCAAGTTTTGGCTTAGTGTCATTTCCTGAGAAAAAGTTTCTTGAAACTTCGTTGTCTAAGTTATCAGCTTCTCCTCTTTGCCCGGCTAGCACATTGTGCTTATCTCTTTCTTACCACGAAATAGGTGACAGTAATTTTGTTGAGGTTGGGCTGTGCCTTTGTTCATTGAGATGCCACGGCAGCTAGCTAGCCCTGTTCGAAGTGTATCAAGAGCGCAATGAGTATGTTTGTTGTAAGACTCATAAATTTTCTATGTACTCTTCTGACTCAGAACAAGCAGTCTGTTTTCTCATTTAGTGAAATTACCATTCTCTTTTATGGTGCATTCTTTAATGTAAGTATGTAATCCCAGATGGGGGTCTGCATTTTTTTCCTACCAAGAGTCAATTAGATTCTTTTGTGTTTTAGCTTTATTCAGGTATAATTGATATAAAAAATTGCACATACGTAGTATATATGCTATATGTAGTCTCTGTTGCCTATTCTCATTTTTTTTAAACAAGCTCTTTAAAATATAAAAATCATTCTCTGCTCTCTGGCAGTACAAAAAAGGCTACATGTCAGATACGGTCCTACACTAAAAAAAAGTCATTTGAAATTTTTTGCTTGGATCAAAAAGTATTATATATTTGGTCTTTTCTCTGACTACTTCCATAGCTGCTAAGTCACATATTTCCTATCCTCAGTCATTGTCTGGATACCTTGTCATTTTACTACATTGCTGAATCAAAAGACATTTGCCTAGCAGTCTCAGTTAAATGGTTACATAGAGTTTCACTTGGCTGCTTCAAATAATTCCCTTCCAAATAATTAGGAAAGTCAGATATCAGCTCCCACTTTGTACCTAGTCTGATAGTTTGGCCTAAAGAGGTTATAGAAAAGCAGAATAAGGGAAGAACAGGGAACGGTTTGCCCACAAGTTACCCTCCCATCTCCACACCAGGTTAAAGGTCATAAAGGGACAGCACAGCATTTCCCATGGTGGTAGAGAAATGAACTGTATCTGCAGCCCAGATACCTCCCCTCAGTTCTCATCACCACAGCTCCAGACATCTAACTAATGCCAAAGCACCTCAGGGAGCCTGAATGTACTGGGAATAGTATTTTTTCTTCCAAAAATACCACTATTTTCTTCAGTCATTCATGTTGCACATTCTTAAGAACACTGGCATGAAATTAATTGACATTGGTAATGATATAGAGATTAAAAAATTGAGTTTCCATTAAAATGTGATAGACTATTAGAAGATGGGACCACCAATTGATAAAACATCAGCAAAAAAGTCATTCAATGGAGGTAAAATTTACATACTTTTTACAGAGTTTTTGTTTAAAATGAAGGTGAGGTTATGGCAGAGAATACCTAGGCGTGTCCCTCTAAAATTCCACTATGTGTAGATGACCTTTATTGTATTGATGCATAAAAACAGCTTATCTGTGACTGTCCTGTTACTTGCCACTCATGTTGAAAAGCCACACTTCATTAGTGATTGTTAAAACATTTCCTAAAATTTTAAAATAACAAATCATATCATTATTTTGGTATAGACACTTTCCTCAGGAAAAAACATCATTCTAGAGTTCAAAAAAGGAAAAGAAAATATAAAAACTACTTCTCTGATCATCGTAACCTCAGATGTTTGCTGAACTCCTGAGTTGCAAAGGGTGAAAAAAGTCATACAAGAATCTCTTCTGGTGGAGAGAGGTGGGTGGGCTCTGTGCATTCTTAGGAACACAGATTCACACTCATAGAAAGCTCTGCAGTTGGAGAATTTTCGTTGTCTTCCACCTCCCACACAAGATGAAGATTTTTTCAGCAGAAAGCCTGCCTCCTTTTGAGCCCAGGAAATCTGTTCTTTACTCTGTAACTACAAAGCTAACAATAAATAAGGATCTCTGTCTGTTGGGAAAGTTGATACTCTGATGTTTTTGGCAGAGGGACATATTTCTAAATGATAGAATTTCCCTTTTAAAAGAATTGACACAATTTTCAGTTCAGTGAAACAAACGAACATGTCCTTGGTGGTTCTGTCTTTGACATTACTAATGAATCTCTTGTGTAATAGGACTTTGGGTAGAGAGAATGCAGAACTGAGGAAAATGTCCTCAGAGACACATGTGTAAATAACATTAGCATCAGAAGCAGGCCAGGCATGCAGTAAAAAGTCAGATTACAAGGCAGTGATTTGCTACGATTTTGATATCATGTTAGGCATTTTTAAAATGATAAATTTATCCAATTTATTATTCCTGTAAAAAGTTCCCAGCCATAAATTATTCGTATTTTTTCTGCTCCATTCCCTCTTTCTCTTCTTCTGGGATTCAAATTACAGATACGATAGACTGTAACATTGTACCATAGGTCCCAGCGTCTCTGTAAATTAAAAACAGTTTCTATTTCTCTTTTATAAGGATTACAGAATTTGTTGTTCTAATTTCAAAATCATTTCCTTTCTCTTCTGTAATCTCTATTCTATAATTAGGCCAAAACTGTGACTTTTTTCTGAAACATAATGTATTTTTCATTTTAAACATTTTCCTTTTAAAACTGTGTATTTTCTCTTTCTCTTCTGAGAAATCTTAACTTTTATCTTTCTTTATCTCATAAAGCACAATTGTGTAGACTGATTTAAAGTCCTTCTATAATTATACACAATATCTGAGTCATCCTGGACTTTGTACCTACAGATTGTCATTTCTTTTGGGATGGGTCACATTTTACCCATTCTTTCTGTCGCCAATAATTTTGGATTATATCCTGCACAGTGAATATTACAGAGCTTAAACTCTGTGTTCTGTTATATTCATCTGGAAAATGTGAATGATTTAAGTTGGCTATAAACCTCACAGGGTTTCCCAACTTCAAAAACTGTGACTACAAGCTGATTCTTACCTTCTGTAGTGTTGGTTGAAATCTCAGTTTAGTATTTTAAGCCTTTGCTAAAAGAGTTTTTCTTTTTGTTGTTGTTTGAACCATGGGTATATGGTTCAGCGTTCATCCTGAAATGTGTGCATGCTTATATACATAATAAAGGTGAGTGCTTCTATGACTCTCTCCAGAATTCGTACATCTGTCTCAGACCTGCCCAGATACTTTCCCATGTATTCTGTTATTTTATAGAGTATTCTATAAATGTCAGTTATTTCCTGTTGGTTGATGGTTTATGGGGATCTTTTATATCCTTGCTGATTTTCTGCCTAGAAGTTCTGTTACTGAGTGAGGAGTATTTTAAGTTTTCAGCTGTAACTGTAGATTTGTCTAGTCTTCATTTGTCATGTCAGTTTTTGCTGCAGATATCTGAAGTTCTGTTTTAGGTGCTCTGTTAGTTTGCTAGGGCCTCCATAACAACGCAACATAACCTGGTGGATTAAAACAACAGAAATGCATTGTCTAGTTCTGGTTGCCAGAATTCCAAAATCAAGGTGTTGATAGCTTGGTTCTTTCTGAGCATTCCAAGGAAGAATCTCCTCCATGCCTCTCTCCTAGCTTCTGATGCAGTCAGTATCCTTGATGCTCCATCACTGCAGTTTCAGCCCTCTAATTTCTGCCTCCACTGTCACCGTGCTGTCTTCTTCCTCTATGTCTCTGCTTTCATATCATCTTCTCATTGTTTGTGTCTGTCTCTGTATCCAAATTTACCCTTTTTATAAGAACATCTTGTATTGGAACAGAGCCCATCCTTGTGACCTGATCTTAACTTGGTAGGAGGTGGGGCTGAAGAAGGAGAGGTTAGGGCCAGAGCCAGGTGTGAAATAGGGCTTCTCTTTTGCTCAGTGGCCATCACCTTTTTACTGGGGGCTGGGTCAGGCCCCAAGTTGCTGGAGGTCTGAGGGTTGGGTCGGAGCTGACTTTGTTCCCTTTAAGTTTGTGCTCTTTCCCCCTTCATCCCAGAGTGTGTGAGATTTTGCGTGTGTCCTTTAAGAGCAGAGTCTCTGTTTCCTGCAGCCCTCCATCTGTCCCATAGGCAAGCCTAGCTGGCCTTCAAAGCTAGATATTCTGGGAGCTCATCTTGGTGCAGGATCTCCAGATTGGGAACCTTGTTGTGAGGCTCAGGCCTCTAGCCCCTTGGGGAGAACATCTGCAGTTGTGATTATCCTCCTGTTACTTGTGGGTCACCTTCCAGGGCTGTGTGTCTTGACTATACATGACCTCTGCCTCTCCTACCATGAGTTTCTTCTTTATATCTTGAGATATATATGTGTGTGTGTGTGTGTGTGTGTGTGTGTGTGTGTGTATGGGGGGAGTGGGGAGGGAGAGAGGGAGAGAGAAGGAAAATCATAAAGAGGATTGGATGCTAGGGTGGCTGCCAAGCCATCTTTTTTATTAAGTGATGAAAATCTTTAAGAGATGGGGATACAAATCTTACCAATGAAATTCAAAGTAAATTAACAGAGCCTCCAAAGAAGTAGGCAAGTGAAAAAACAGAGAACACAATGCACAATGGAAATTAGCAAAATGTTCTATTCCCTCATCCGATGGAAGAAGTTTGAGTATACGTGAACAAGATAAAGTCTTTCCATTGCTGAAAAGCCTTCACATGCTCATATGGTCACCTGGGCAGAAATTCATTCATTCTCAGATGAACTCAAGACCACTGACTCATGTGGGTAACAAGTAGCCAGAGGCAATGATCAGATGATCAAAGATTCCAAAGCCATTTTTTAAAAGATCTAGAATATTTTATGAAGAAATAGCAGCGCAAGCTTAATGAATCTTGACTAGTGTGGATTCTTGGCATGA